ATTATTATTCTACTTCTGCAGAGTTGCAGCCTTCGCATTTGAATAAATTGGATATTTTTTTATCATATTATGTTTTCTATACCAGATTGATATTTTTAAATGGAGTTGCTGGAAGTAGAACTTGAAATCAAATAGCAAACGTCACTGTCTTCCGAACTAAGGATATATGGTATTTTGAACAGTTAAATTTTTATCCAACCGTCAGATGGCGAGTTGTTCAAATCCCCCATGTCCGTGGTCCTTTTGTCACCAATCTTTAAAAATCATCATTGTCACGACATTATCTGGAAAAATACTGGGTAGACATCGCTAAATTATTATGCGAGGATTTCCCTTAGTCCCTAGTAGAGCATTTTGATTTTGTAACGAAAGAAAAAGAAAAATGGGTGACATATTGCCATCCTCGATTAGTCAACGAAAGTTCGTTATCGCTATTTCTTTTGATGAACATTTCCAGAATACATTTAAAGGTTCCATTGTCACCATATTAGTGTTAATTTTGGACTGATCAGAAAAAGTGGACTGACAGACTACCATCTCTGATTTAGCTGATGGATGTTTATCCCTTTTCTTTAGTAGGACTTCATGGATCTTCCTGATATGCCCATGTAGGTTCTTATTGATTCATAGGTGTGACCTGATTTTGAAAATGTTTTGGAAAAAAAAAAAAAAACAAAAAAGTCTCTTTCACCAAGATTTTGTAAAACGACACAGGAATAATAAAAACAATAATGTGAAAATGCCGCATTTCGTTTGATTTCACAAAATTGCAAATCAACCGGATATGAAAGCTTTTAATAAGTCAAAACGAATGTGTTACCGTGTTTATTTTAAAATCTAAAATCTAGGAAATAGATCTACTGACAACATTTAAGTTTTTTCGATCTGTGATTGTGGATATAGTTTAATTATAGAATCATTAATAAGAAAATGATCATGAAATTGTTAAGGTTACAGTTAATATATAAAAGTCTTAAATTATTCCCGATATAGTAAGGAATATGATGATTGTTTTTTTTCCCCGATTTTTTGGATTTCCATTATACAGGTGGTTATACTTTTTATGGAGTTCCATTATACAATTTCAATACTTTCCTTCTAGTCGAATTGTATCTTTTTCATTCCCGTAATTGCATATTCTAAGAATCGGCCTACTTTCTCATTTGGGTACATTATTTCATGCCTTTGGCAGATTTGGTTAAAACACATTTATCCCAACGACAGGACTTTAAATCATTCTCCATTCATTCTATATTGAATCATATCCATGTGGAATTGTTAAATGAATAGAAAAATTGTAACACATTACCTAATATGAATTGGAGGATAAACATGTATGCATACTGAGCACCATTTCTTTTCATAGTGCCATAGAGATTTCAATAGCGGAAAAATTCAAGTTCAAACAGAAAATATCGTTAGCAATATGGATAACGCCTCCTCGAAACAAAAACATTGCAGCATAACAAAGGAAGGATTGTATTGTCTCCTCCTGATGGTGGCTGGGGCTGGATAATCGTCATCGGTTGTTTTTTGGCCCGTGGGATATTATGTGAGTACTTCATTTGTTTTCTATTAACTTTCGGATCTAAACAACAAACGTCATGGAAATTTTGTAGAACGTAACAGACAATCAAAAGGGTATATCAATTCAACACACCAGAAGATATGACACTGAATTATACTTGAAACAAACCATCGACATTAAATAACCACGCGGAATTTTCACTTTCCACAGTTTATCATACCGAGATGAAAATAATTAGATTAAGTATTTGATCGCATTTCGGTAAAATCAGGATATTTGTGATACAAGACCAGATTAGTTCAACAAACAAATTATATAAAAACAAAGAAGCATAGTCATACAAACATAGCTTAAGACCAAAGACAACAGAAGATAATAGTGAAAAATATCACAGTTATAGTGCAAAGCATCACAGATCAGAAGTTTAAGATGAAACAAATTTTAAGAATGAACACCGTCAAGACATGACACAGTGTTACTAAATATGAAAGAGTAAAACACTATTGAGAAAGTGAAATGTACCTACATGCTTATATAGCAAATTGTATAAAATGGCAGGATACACAATGCATAATGAATATGTCTACATTTTCACTTATAACTGTTGTACAGGTAATCATGTATGTGTGATTCATGTAATGACATATACTTGCCGTGATATATTGTAATATAACGGATAAAACACCAGGTACAACTTGTAATCATTAAACCATACATTGTATACTTTAATTTTGTTTATATAAATCTGATGGCTGATCTAGTTTAAACAGATGCATAATACTGAGATCCAATGTTTGAGAAGATGTAAAATTCAAAACCATTCCCGGTCGATTAAATATTTAATTATTATGTCATGTGTTTTAGCTGGTTTACAATCGTCCTCTGGGGTTTTCTACCTGGAATTTGAAGAGAAGTATCATCAATCAACTGCTCTTACCCTTTGGATGTGTACACTTCCAGGTGTACTGCGGACTATATTAGGTAAAACAGGTTTATCATAATTCCATTTCGGATTAAAGTCATCATATTTCTACAAAACTGTGTTCGGTGTCGTCACAAAATTCTTGTCCAGTCTTTAAAGCACGTTGTATGCAGTATGTCATATTGATATATTTTTGTTTGATTTCACGTCACCACCAAACTAAATCAGATGCTTTCCTTTTGGTTATATTACATGAGCTGTATATGCAAATAGCTAGAATGATCTTCTCAGCTATGCACCGATACGACATTAAAACCCATTCTAAGTAAATGTATTACATTATTCAATGTAGTAAGCAATGCGACTGATCGATTGAAGGTATGTTGGGTACATAATTACTTTGATGTTGATTTTTAGGTCCGATGAGCGCTTTTCTTATCAACAAATTCTCATGTCGATCTGTTTCAATAGCTGGAGGTTTAGTTTTAGGATTGAGCCTCGCTTTGACTGCTTTCGTCGATGATCTGATATTTACCATCTTCAGTTTTTCATTACTCGGAGGTAAGCACACTTTTTTCAAAATCAGATAAGATATGAATTCTTTAAAGATTTTAGCTTTGACATATAAGTAAAAGCAGTAAACGTTGACCTTAGAACATAAAAAACAATGTGTTTTTTAACAATACAACAGAAGAATACACAAACGTTATAGAGCTGTTTTGTTCCAGGAATCGTCAGCTATGTTAGGGGGCCATGATTACATGTCATCTATTAAAATATAACAGATTCAGTATAAAAATAAGGCGTTCAATTGAAATTTTACTATAAATTTAAATTCTAACGATACGGAACTTTAAAGTAAATAGACAAAAAATATCACAAGGTTTATTGTGTAAAGGCCTCGAGGAATTCATTTGAGATTTGAACATTTCCCGCCAAAGCCAATATCTGTGCTCTCTTTCAACTTTGATTTCCTGGTCTAGTTAATTTACATTTATCTCATGAAATGTAAAGGGTTCTGTAGTTACACTTTTCTTCAAGCCGAATAGCTCTGTATTGTTCTGATTTCAAATATGTTACGAAGAAGATGTTGGATGTACACAACCAGACAGATTGATAAGCAAAATATTGAAGAAAATAATGTCTGATTGACTCTCCGTATGTAGAAAAGACAGAAAATCCTAACTAGACATCGCTTAATTTCTACCACACGGAATTAAACGCCATTGTAAACTCCGGAAGAGCAACATAGCAGCATCCCCAAACTATGCCATGTCGCATTTGATCCGGTATTTGAGGCATGTTCGTAATATCCCTCTTTTGTGCATGATGTCGTCAACTGACAAACTTACAACACAGGGTTTCGAGAAATATTCCTGGAAAGTTTTACAGCCGTCATTGTGATGACATTAAGAATTACTCTTTCTTATTGTGCGATATATGTCACGTAAGCATGTATAGTTTGTCTATAAATGGTAAGTTTTAATTTGAGTTTGTTTTGCGGTGTAAGGACTCTTAATTGTCCGCACCACTGGGCGGATATACGTCACGGGCTTGACCGGTTGTGCACGGAATGGACACTTGTTTACGGTCCACAGTTTTGTGAGTTCGTGTAGCCGATATGTAAATATAGCTGTTTCCGATATTGTGAACAAGGCACAGACGACAGACTGTGGTAAGTTATGTTTCTTTCTTCCGTTTCCATATGTTTTTTTGGCATTATTTTATCCATGCCGTCAAATCTATCGGGTCAAGCAATCGAGGTGTCGGTGCGCTCCAATCATGCCTAACTATTGTTGATACATGTAGTACACTTGTTTTGTAGTGTGTTTCTGCTATATCATTATAATTTCATACTTCCTATTGATTTCTGGTGTATTTAGATAATATAAACATAATAGATTGTTGTGTGTAAAATTATTTAATAAATATAGGGTTCTTGTCCGTTTTAAAATTCTATGGAAGCTCTGAGCTAGAGCTATAGCGTTAGTTGGAGTGTGTACGCGCACTGGGTAAAAAATTATGGAAGCCGTGAGACGCCACCTTCTATGAATTGTGCTTAGTCGTGTTTTTATAGCCATTTGGAGCCGCACACTTATCCCTTTATCTTTATTATATTGATTTACGTATATTTACAATATATTAATGAATATTTATATTATTGATAATCAATTATTAGTTAATTAGTATGCCAGGTGAGAGTGAATCTGTGTGACTACAGCATTATTTTCCACTATGTATTATTGTAGCTTCACATGACGGACTAGGAGTCTCAGCTATCAAGCCAGGACCAGTCAGCTGTGCCAACTCATTGTGACTCCAGCGTCAGGACCGACCGGATAAGTTCTCTTCACCAGGGTCAAGGTCAGCATGGAATACATGTGTTGGGTCGTTACGTAGGCCAGGGTCAGCGACTTGCTTGGAGGCTGAGTCACAGTATATCTACTATTGGGATGGCTGTCGTGTCAAGGACACTAGTGTGTACATCCCAGCTTTCCTGTCGTGTCTTGGACACTAGTGAGTTTGCCATTTTGGGCGTTTCAAGCAAGCATGGTGCTGCTTGATGTGTTTATACCTCTTGGCTCTGGATTGAGCGTGGTAGCAGGTTAGCGACTGTCTTGCACCGGAACTGTACCAGGATCCCATTCGTCGTTGTGTGTGTAGCTACAGACTGTAACTTGTAATAATTGTGTTTGTGAATGAGTGAATTAGTGAGTGTGACGTGTGGGTATTATAGGTTTTTTTTTTTTAAATCTCTTTATTGTCATCATTGTAAATAAACATTTGTCATTGCAATCAATCTTTTCGGTGTTCATTTCCCGGATCGCTGACCGACGCTCGTTCCACGTTAACAACTTGGTGGCAGCGGTGGGATTAGCCAAAGTTAGTTGTTCGGGAATAGAATCCTGTTTGATTGGTTTCAAAGTCTAGATTGTTTGACAGATTCCCGCCAAATTTCCTTTACTTTCATTTTCTTCTTAACGTGGGCATTTGGGGACTCTATACAGGAACTCTGAGGTGAGTTAATTGGCCTGAGCAAGGATGACGCATGACTTCCGGTAAGTTCTTATGCCTGGTTGTATTGAATATTGTATGTGTTGGTTATCTCTTGCAGTCTAGTGATTTAGTTGTTTTGAAAATGTCCTCTCTTTCAGCAATTTTGGAAGCAGGTAAGCGACTTCAACTTGAAGGCGACCAACTACGATTGTTCATTCAAGAGCAGCAAGCCAAGGAAAGAGATGACCGTGAAAGAGAAAGGGAAGAGAAAAAGATGCAAAAGCAAATGGACGAGGAGAGAGAGGCTCGGGCTGACAGGAGAGCAGAAGAAGAACATAAACGCAAAATGGAATTAATTCGTGCAGAACAGGAGTATCAATCTGAATGGGACAAATCGGGACGTCGGAGGGAGACCAATCCTAGAGATACAATAAAGAAGGGTTCCAAGTTACCTGCCTTCAATGAAGAAAAGGACAACATCGATGCTTACATCCAGCGCTTCGAACGGTACGCAACGGTACAGAATTGGGAACGTGATGGATGGGGAGCTAACCTTAGCGCTCTTTTGACGGGTAATGCGAACTTAAGAAGGCATTACTGAGGAGATTTGATATGACAGGGGAAGGATTCAGGAAAAGCTTCCGAACATCAAGACCCGATGGAAGTGAAACATTTTCACAGTTTTCCATTCGCCTGGAAAACTACTTGGAGAGATGGGTCGAACTAGCCGACACTAACAAGACCTATGAAGGCTTGAAAGACTTGTTTTTGAGAGATCAGTTTTTACAGGTATGTAACCAGGATCTGATGTTGTTCCTGAAGGAACGGATTCCCGTGTCCCTTGATGCAATGTCCAGACTGGCCGATCAATATGCAGAGGCAAGAAGAACGAAAGCGGCAAACTTGATATCTTCTAAGGGAACCAAGGCAGGAAGTCATAAGGCAACAGCTTCAGGACATTCGCCGTCAACAAGTTCTGCACCTGGGAAATCTACAATTGGTTCAAGCGACTTGCCCAAGGAGAGGACTTGTTTCTATTGCAAAAAGGTTGGACATATTGCTTCAGATTGCCGGAAGAAGAAATCTGAAAAGATGAAAGAAGGTCAGGCAGCCTCTATGGTAAAAGATAAAGGGAACACGAGTGGCGCCAACACCATACCGAAGATGAGTTTCGCCTACAATACAAAGGAGACAACTTCCATGCCGGTGGTGTTGGGACGTGTGGGCGGTAAAGTTGTCACCGTTCTTCGGGATTCGGGTTGTGATGAGGTAGGAGTGAGACGTAGTCTCGTTGAACCTGAGAATATCACCGACAAGACCAAGACTTACATTTTAGCTGATGGTTCTCGTCTTGTATGCCAAATCGCCAACGTACAGATCAACACGCCATATTTTAACGGAGATACTGAAGCCTTCTTGTTAGAGTCACCCTTGTACGATGTGATTATTGGAAATGTTAAGGATGCCCTTCCGGTAGGACAACCAGATGAGAAGTGGCAGCTTGATTCGTTAAATGCGGTTCAGACGAGAGCGGAGGTCAAGAGGAAAGCTAAGCCGTTGCAGGTACCGGAGTTTATGACGAGTTTAGGTAGTGTGAAGGAGTTGAAGGAGGAACAGCAAAGCGTTGGTACCCTGGAGAAGTTCCGTAAGTTGGCAAAGGAATCGGATACGTATGAACGCGATGATGGGGGTAAGTCTTCCCTGTTTTACCACATTAATATATCGAGAGTTCAGAAGCCCTGGGATTGCAACTGGAAAGGTGTTTAGACAATTAGTCGTACCAACGAAGTATCGACAGATGATAATGAAACTAGCTCACGAGTCGATTATGTCGGGACATCTGGCAGCAAAACGAACGACTAACAGGATTCTTGCAGAGTTTTTTTGGCCTGGTCTGCAGGGCGATGTGACTCGGTTCTGTCGTTCGTGTGATGTGTGCCAACGTACCTTCCCTAAAGGCCGAGTACCGAAAGCGCCACTCGGCAGTATGCCATTGATCGATACGCCTTTCAAGAGGATAGCGGTGGATTTAGTTGGTCCTCTCGAACCTGCAACAGACCGTGGCAACCGGTTTATACTGACAGTAGTGGATTTCGCGACTAGATATCCGGAGGCAGTAGCACTTAGAAGCATTGAGACTGAGCGCGTTGCAGAGGCACTGGTTGATATCTTCAGCCGTGTTGGAGTACCCAGTGAGATGTTGTCCGATCAAGGGGCCCAGTTTACCTCTGGATTAATGAAGGAAGTGAGCAGACTATTGTCGATCCGCCAACTAACGACAACGCCATATCATCCTCAATGCAACGGGTTAGTTGAGCGTTTCAATGGTACACTGAAACAGATGCTAAGGAAAATGGCCGCTGAGAAACCCAAGGACTGGGATAGATACATCAATGCCCTCTTGTTCGCTTATAGGGAGGTGCCGCAAGAAAGCTTGGGGTTTTCACCCTTTGAACTATTGTACGGCAGAGCGATACGTGGACCGATGATGATTCTGAAAGAACTGCTAACGAAAGAGATTCCAGATGACGACGTCAAAACGACTTATCAGTATGTAATGGATTTGAGGGAACGGATGGAGGAGACATGCCAAGTTGCAATGGATCACTTGAAGGATGCCAAGCGAGTTCAGAGAAGGAACTTCAACAGGAGAGCCAAGTCACGGGAGCTACGACCAGGCGACAAAGTGTTAGTGCTTCTGCCAACAAAAGCTAACAAGTTGCTGATGCAATGGCGTGGCCCATACGACGTTGTAGAGAAAGTCGGACCGTTCGACTATCGTGTGAACAGGGACGGTAAAATCAAGACTCTACATATTAACCTGTTGAAAAAGTACATGAAGCCAGTGGACAATGTTGCGGAAGATACTGAGGGAATTCTTGCAAACACCATAGCAAGTGTTGTTGCTGATGGTGAGGAGATTCAGGGGGACGCGGATTTTCCCAGCAGACTGGAGTCCCTTCCTAGTGATAGGGGAAAGGAACATGTTGAAGATGTTGAAATCTCTGGAGGCCTGAACAATGCACAAGCAGATGAAGCGAAGGAGCTCATGGACAGTTATACAGATGTGCTAACTGATCTTCCAGGCCGGACAAATCTCGCCCAACATGAAATCAGGACTACTACCGATGCTCCCGTTCATGTGAAACAATACCCCTTGCCTTATATTACCAAGGAGGTGATCAAAAAAGAGGTGCAGAAGATGTTGGATATGGACGTTATCGAGCTATCATCATCCCCATACTCGGCTCCTGTTGTAATGGTCAAGAAAAAGGAGGGGACGAATCGTTTTTGCATTGATTTCAGGAGACTAAATCGAGTCACGGTATTTGATACCGAGCCGATGCCAAAACACAGATGATATTTTCTCTCGGGTAGCGGGTGCAAGATACTTCTCCAAACTGGATCTCTGTAAAGGCTATTGGCAGGTGCCGCTCTCGGAAGACGCAAAAGAGATGACAGCCTTTTCAACTCCACAAGGCCTTTTCCAGTTTAAGGTAATGCCGTTTGGCTTAGTAAATGCCCCGGCAACATTTAGTAGGCTGATGAGGAAACTTTTAGTTGGTATGGAACACATCGATAACTTCATCGACGACATATTGATTTACACAGACACCTGGGAAGAACATATGGAAGTACTTCGCGATCTTTTTGCAAGGCTTCGAGCAGCAGTGCTAACAGCAAGACCAACAAAATGCTCGATTGGATTTTCCAGTTTGACTTGTTTGGGTCACATTGTTGGTGATGGAAAATTGGAATTGGAAGAGTCGAAAGTGACGGCCATCAAAAACGCAGAGAGACCAGAGACAAAGAAACAAGTTCGCTCTTTTTTGGGGTTGGCCGGATTCTATCGGCGTTTCATTCCTAATTTCGCAGCAGTTGCCGCCCCCTTGACTGATCTGACGAAGAAGGGATGTCCAAATAAAGTTCTTTGGAGCGAAGTGCACGATAAGGCATTCTCTACTCTCAAGAACATGCTAACAGCTAAACCGGTGCTCAGACTTCCAAATTTGGAGCAACAGTTCATTCTTCGAACAGACGCATCGGATACTGGCTTGGGTGCTGTGCTGCTGCAGGAAGAAAACGGACAGAAAATGCCTGTCGCCTACGCCAGCAGGAAGTTATTTGCCAGGGAAAAGAACTACGCAATTATAGAAAAGGAATGTTTGGCAATTGTCTGGGCAGTCCAGAAGTTTGAACCTTACATCTATGGGAAAGAGTTTATCCTTGAGACGGACCATCACCCATTAACTTACTTGCACAGATCAAAAACTGCGAATGCCAGACTTATGAGATGGGCGTTACTCCTACAGCCATACAGATTGAGGATTCGTGCCATCAAGGGTTCCGACAACGTTGGAGCGGACTATTTGAGCAGACTCTAGGAATACATGTTCCGTGAGTATGAGAAAGTGTATCCACTTTCTTCGAAAGCAGGGGGGAAACTGTCACGTAAGCATGTATAGTTTGTCTATAAATGGTAAGTTTTAATTTGAGTTTGTTTTGCGGTGTAAGGACTCTTAATTGTCCGCACCACTGGGCGGATATACGTCACGGGCTTGACCGGTTGTGCACGGAATGGACACTTGTTTACGGTCCACAGTTTTGTGAGTTCGTGTAGCCGATATGTAAATATAGCTGTTTCCGATATTGTGAACAAGGCACAGACGACAGACTGTGGTACGTTCTGTTTCTTTCTTCCGTTTCCATATGTTTTTTTTTGGCATTATTTTATCCATGCCGTCAAATCTATCGGGTCAAGCAATCGAGGTGTCGGTGCGCTCCAATCATGCGTAACTATTGTTGATACATGTAGTACACTTGTTTTGTGGTGTGTTTCTGCTATATCATTATAATTTCATACTTCCTATTGATTTCTGGTGTATTTAGATAATATAAACATAATAGATTGTTGTGTGTAGAATTATTCAATAAATATAGGGTTCTTGTCCGTTTTAAAATTCTATGGAAGCTCTGAGCTAGAGCTATAGCGTTAGTTGGAGTGTGTACGCGCACTGGGTAAAAAATTATGGAAGCCGTGAGACGCCACCTTCTATGAATTGTGCTTAGTCGTGTTTTTATAGCCATTTGGAGCCGCACACTTATCCCTTTATCTTTATTATATTGATTTACGTATATTTACAATATATTAATGAATATTTATATTATTGATAATTAATTATTAGTTAATTAGTATGCCAGGTGAGAGTGAATCTGTGTGACTACAGCATTATTTTCCACTATGTATTATTGTAGCTTCACATGACGGACTAGGAGTCTCAGCTATCAAGCCAGGACCAGTCAGCTGTGCCAACTCATTGTGACTCCAGCGTCAGGACCGACCGGATAAGTTCTCTTCGCCAGGGTCAAGGTCAGCATGGAATACATGTGTTGGGTCGTTACGTAGGCCAGGGTCAGCGACTTGCTTGGAGGCTGAGTCACAGTATATCTACTATTGGGATGGTTGCAGGTTAGCGACTGTCTTGCACCGGAACTGTACCAGGATCCCATTCGTCGTTGTGTGTGTAGCTACAGACTGTAACTTGTAATAATTGTGTTTGTGAATGAGTGAATTAGTGAGTGTGACGTGTGGGTATTATA